GTCGCACGAGATGATGCAGTCGGATCAGCCTCAGTGTTCTCCTCTTCTCAAACAGATCCTTGCTGGTGTTCGACATTCCCAAGTCTCTTGTTGGAGACTTGGAGATATTTTTACCATAGGCTCTCAGATCTTTGAGAAGCAGGTCGTAGTACTTCATTGCGTCCTTCTTGATGAGCCAGGACAAGTCAGAAGCTCCTCCATTCTGATGATGTCACTTAGGACTTGTCTACTTCCTCGCACGGTGAGAGGTCTTGTTTTCAAACTTTTGGCGGAATCGCACTTTTGCTCGAAGAAGACGGTGATCTGAACCACGGCTGAAAAGGTACCACTAAGGCGTCCAGTAAGCACTCCTTTGATGCCGTATGCTAACGTCGGTGTTCCTTCTTCATAAAGATGGAGATTCCATGAGAAATTCGTGTGGTTGAGAGCCCAACAAGACAGTTACTCTTCTCATTCCGGAGTTCTTATCCAAATCTCCCAATCCGTGCTCCCCTTCTTCTAGCATCCTTTTCGCAAATCACCCAAGACGGAATAGAAGGAATTTTATGATCACTTCCTCCAAATCCTCATAAAGTGCACTAGTTCCGAGTCATTAGCTGCTGATTTTGGAGAATAGCAGTTGATGATAGTGATGGTTTTCTGGTGCAGAGGAAGGGACAGCCAGGCGAAGTGATACTCAAGTGTATCGACAAGGGGGAAAACAGATGGGTGTACGACAAATTCAATGCCTCTAATCCGTGACGGAATTTTCTCACCACGAATGATGAGTGTGCCACCACTCAGCTGCCTTACATACGCCTTCCCTGTTTGTTTCCCGCAAGGCGATTATTGGTATTGATGTGCCCTGCAGCTTCGAAGAAAGTATAAAGATCAGCATTGATAAAGACTGCTCTGCGTTGTAGGTGCAGAACATGAGACATTACCCATGGCGAGTCGTTGAAGTGTCTTGGTCCGAAATCCATGGCGTCCTGTGCAACCTGACACTGGTCTTCATGATATCCAATGCAGATGTGATCCAGTGTGCAGGGCTTTTCCTCCTTCTACAAGCTGTACAAACAAAACAATTTCCCCCCAAATTTTAGCACCTTTGACAGCCTGCCAAGGCACCATTTTACCGCAGGCAATCGCTTACCTATGTAAGGGAACCACCTAGCGGCTGAATCAGCCAGACGGTAGCGCTTTTGGCAAGGCCTACTCCTAGTCGGACATGCGGAGAACCGCAAACGCCGAACTCCTCAGCTTGAGAAATCCTGCTGAAGGTAAACATAAGCAGTACTTCGCATTTCGATACCCAGAGTTACCTCCGTGCCACGATGAGGCAGTAGACCATTGGACGTTTACACCGTGAAATAAAGTAAGCTCGAATTTGAGTGAAAACCTCAAGAAATGGAATTTTGCTTAGGGTTTATGTCAAGGATAAGGGTAGGATAGCTATAGCCGGGCGCGCATGCATGTCAGTTGTGCAATCGGAATACCACGTCCCCGCGCAATGTGCACGTTCGCGATAGCTACAGTAACCCTTCAATCCACCCTCGTTCATGCTTAAGTCATTCTCAAATGGAATATCACTCTTGTAATGATGCTATTCTCAAAATTCATATGAATCGAAAGTACTAGATGATTGATCCGACTTAAAACAAAGGTCTTTCATTTTTAGAATATTTCTGTACTATTTGCAATATTTTAACCTTATTCAAAAAGTCGCATTGTAGGGAAGGCATGACAAGTTTCATTGTAACCTAGGTTTTGGAATTATTAGCTTGTTTTTGGTTTTGATATAAGTAGAAGTAGTAAGCTGCTAGCAACGCGAAATCACATCGGGAAGTATTGAATTTGATAGCAACTTGTTGTGTAAAATTTGTCTAGTTTAACATTCAGTCAGGTCAACTTAACACTAAAGGAAGACTATAGACCTTTGTTCGCAGTTCAGAGATAGCCATGAGAAATGGACGTAAACTAAATTATAAGAACGCAAGCCAAATTCTCGCGCCATACAACCATTCAAATAGACAAAACACTTAGGTTTGGAAGCAAGTTTTATCTCTTAGTAAAGGATTTCTTGATGTGCTCACTATTTGTGATTAATTTCGATCTTGATTTTTTACGACAGTTGTGAAATTTGTGTCACAGCTTTTTGCCAAAATTACGTAAATCTATAAAGAGTCGTGGAAATATAAGCTTAACTCCTAATTTTGTCAGGCAGCTTAAAAAAGAGATTTATTTTAATAGGATAGTCAGACTCGGCGCAGCTCTCCGGAGAGCAAGCTGGCATTCGTTGTGAAGAAACCAAGGGGGAAATCGTATAGGGTTCGAGGTGGAGCCTTGAGTTCATTATCACCGTAGTGGGGATGTTCACCCTAAGCATTCTTGTCTTATTCAATTCCATAAACATTCTGTGTCCGGTCCATCACGGATTCGATGTCTGTTTCGATGCAGGCCTTTGCGCGAAAAATTCAAACTTATACA